AGAGGAGATTACAACAGCAGTCCTTAGCTCAGCCCATGCTCTTGAACAGTACTGAGTCATGCCGTACTGCTGTGCCCAAGCACAAGAAGCTGAATTTATGACTATGAAAAGCTGGTGATAACTCCTGTGACCCAGTAGTTCAGGGCCATACACAGACCCAAGGGACTGCCAGTGTGAGGTAGAATTCCCTCGTCTTTATTACAGAGTTGCTGACCATTAAGCATCTAGCTCCCTAGTGACTGTAGCCAGGTAAAATCAATGAGGAGCAGGCATCAGCAAAAGAACTGGAATAAACAGAACCACTTAAAAAGGAAGATATTTTAGTGTAATCAATCCGTTCAGCTGTGGGAGGTGTACAGAAACAATGAGATGAAGTTAATTCTGGTTCACTAGATAGAGCTTCTTCAGCCTCTGCTTTGCTTGGTACCCTGCCAGGCTGTATGCACAGCTGTATTAATGCATTTATGTGTTTAAGAGCCCTTATTCAATATGTCTCTAACTTTTCTTTGTTTAAGTGCCGGAATGGTGCCTTTTCTGTGCATGAGAGTCTGGCTTCTGGTAATTGCTCTTCTGACATGAACAGGAGTTCCTTTATCATTCTATTGCTCTCAAAAGAGCTGGCATTTCAATACCTTTTTTTTTTTTTTTGCAGCTTTTATTACCCAGGCACAATCTAATCTGCATTTAGTACATTTTTTGTGTGTGTAAAGAAGCATTGCTACTGTACCATAAGAAATCTGGGGAACCTCCGCTCGTTATGGAGTATACGCCTGACGGCGATGCTAGGAACATGGACCAAGCAGAAGCCAGCCAGACATTTTAAGAGAGAAATCCATTTTATGCTAGGTACTGCGGGCAGACCACTGAGTATCTTCTGCCACCTGCTGGCAAACGCCGCAAATTACAGCTTCTCAAGAAGAGGAACAGTGTCAGCTCTCAGCTGGAATAGGGAGGGAGCTCAGGTGTTCAGGGTGATGGAAAAATCCTGGCAGCAGAGGCAGGGAAGGATGTGCTGGCTCGCCGAGCTGTACGGGGCAGCTCACATCCAGCAGAGCTCGTGCGCTCTGGTGTCTGTGCTGTGCTCCACAGGACGCTGGCAGTGTTCCGCTGCTCATATGAAACACTACAAAATTTCTTTTATTATTATTTTTCTGAGGGCTGTGCAGACTTTGGCTGATTCCTTGCAGGCCCATGATCAACTCCGTGTGGTGTTCTTTGTTCCAATGCTGCAAGGGGTTCAGGGCTTACTCTCTTGGGCTCTTGCTTGCCTTTTCCCATCTTTCAAGTTTCCCCTTTGAGGTTGTGCACCACTCCCAGCCAGGATTTATCACAAGCTGAAAGAGGCCATCTTTTTTCAAAATCTGTGCAAATATCATATATATATACATGTCAGAGATCAGCATCCGAAACATATAATAAACATGAGTGTATTATTAGCAAGTGCTTGATGTCTTGGTCCAGAACCCACTGAAACTGGAATTTTTCCCTAGGAATTTAAAGAAAACAGTTGTGCAGAAAAAAAAAATTCATCAAGATTAAGTCAAACATCTACTCAGTGTTTGTAACATGCTCTACCACTGAACTAATTCCTAACTGATTAGGAAGTTCCTAACTCAATATGAAAAAGGTAGATATAGGATTGCTATTAAAACCTTCTCCCCTCTTTCTAAGCTGAAAGAAAGTAAGGAACACAGACTTGTTGTTTGCAGCCCTCTTACCAAAAGGACAGTCATAGGAACTTATCAGAGAACACTGACGTTTTTTTGCCTCTTCTTCTTAAAGTAATTTTTTGGCAAAGACATAAGGTCATGAGTGATATAGGTCATGAGGGTATAGGTATGAAGTGCCGTGGGTAAGGAAACAGGATCAATGAGTGTGCTGGTTTGGGCTGGGCTAGAGTTAATTTTCTTCGTAGTAGCTAGTAGGAAGCTGTTTCTAATTTGTGCTGAAAATAGTGTTGATAACACAGGGATGTTTTAGTTATTGCTGAGCAGTGCTTATACAAATCAAGGCCTTTTCTGCTTCTCACACTACCTCACCAGTGAGTAAGCTGAGGGTGCACAAGACTTTAGGAGGGGAGACAGCTGGGACAACTGACCCCAACTGACCAAAGGGATAGCCCATACCATGGGACATCATGCTCAGCATTTAAAGCTGGGGGAAGAAGGAGGAAATGGGGGGATGTCCAGAGAGATGGTGTTTGTCTTCCCCAGTAACCTGCTTTCCTGGAGACGGCTGAACACCTGCCTGCCCGTGGGATGTAGTGAGTGAACTCCTTGTTTTGCTTTTCTTCTGTGCCCGGCTTTTGCTCTGCCTATTAAACTGTCTTTACCTCAGCCCACGAGTTGTCACAGTTTTACCTTCCCTGTTCTCTTCTCCATCCCATCATCAGGGAGTCACCGAGTGGCTGTGTGGTGCTCAGTTGCTGGCTGGGGTTAAACCGTGGGATGTAGTGAGTGAACTCCTTGTTTTGCTTTTCTTCTGTGCCCGGCTTTTGCTCTGCCTATTAAACTGTCTTTACCTCAGCCCACGAGTTGTCACAGTTTTACCTTCCCTGTTCTCTTCTCCATCCCATCATCAGGGAGTCACCGAGTGGCTGTGTGGTGCTCAGTTGCTGGCTGGGGTTAAACCGCAACAGTGAGCTGGGATTGCACCAAGTAGCAGTATCCAAGGGTTATAGCAAAATGGTTTTCAAAAATCCTCAGACAACCTCCTGCTGTGTCTCCCTTTCTGATTTATGACTGACTGCACTGATCTTTGGGTAGCACCAAAAGACAAAACTTCAGCTTTGCAGGATGTAAGAAAAGGCAATGCCAGAGGTACTGGGTTTCTACTTAAACTAAAGAGTTATGCACCAGCTGAGAGATAGCAGAAGTTCTGGTACAGTGAAGGGCTTTTTTTTTAAGAAGGAATTATGTACAGATAATTTTGCCCCACATTACATTCCTCCCTCCTATAGACACATACTCGAATACATAGTCTGCGCACCAACTGCTCTTTGGTCCCCAGTTAGGTGTCAGTATCTAGGGTTAACATCTGTGCATCCTTTTCTCCCCACCCTTTGTCAGGCTGCACCACAGCTCCCATCTTCCCTAAATTACTTCTTAGCCTTTGAAAGCCATAGGTGGGCACATCACAACCAGCCAGATTGTTTCTCCTCCTTTACTTTCGCTATCTCTCAGCTCACACAAAAAAGCTGGTGGCAAAGAGGAGATGAGAAGGAAGAGCAAAATTGTCAGCAATTCACTTTGTCATTTACCTTGTTCTTCAGCCCATGCCTTCTTTTCCGTCTTCTGTTTCTCACCCCGTCTGCTGATAGGCTCGTAAGTGGCTAATGTTGAATGTCCTGACACACCCGGAGACAGTGCTGAGGATCAGGGTCATTCCTGGGGTTATCCACAATAAAGCATTTATCTGTGCTAGTGCCACATACGTTGCTTTATGTTCCTTGCTCCTGCCTGTATCGCAGCAGGATATTAAAACTCTGTAGGTCAGCAGAAACAAGGAAAAGAGTCCTTTTTCTCTCTCTGAAGTTTCTGCTTCATAAGCTCTCTGGGACAAGGACTGTCTTTTTTATTACCTGACTGGAACGACGTGGCCTTGATTTCTCAGGCATCCTTAGACACTGTGAAAGAGCAAAGACTGAACATCGACAACCTTGCAGCTACGGGCAGGCAGAGGCAGCAGGCGTTCACCTCACATGGTAGGTACGGAGGGATGGCTGGCTGCAGGCCTCAGCGCTTGCCTCTGCGCACAGCGGGGCAAGTTTGGTTTTGCTCTGTTTCCTGAACACGGCCTGGCGGCGGGGGGAGAAGAGAACTGAGGAAAGTTCAGGAAGGAGATGTGGGCCGGGCAGCGTCTCCCCGCCACACGGTGTGAGGGCCTGGCTGCAGGCTGAGGGCCTGCCAAGGGGGCGGCGAGGTGCTCCGGGCCTGCCGGGAGAGGCAGCCTGGCTGTGCAGCAGGGCGGGGTGGCGTATGGCCCCTGGGGGGGCAGGGGACCCCTCGTCCCACAGGCAGGGCAGGGACCCGGAGTGCGAGTCCGGTGAGCCCCAGGGGAAGCTGCCAGCCCCGGGCAGTGGGGACCCCTCTGCTGCGGCCCTGCAGACGCCGAATGGAGCTGGATCCTGGGACACGGGTGTTTGCACCATGGTACAAGTGGCATGAAAGGCCCTGCCCCAGAGTAAGGAAAGATGGTGGGCACAGAAGGAAGGCTGGCTGGGTTGGTGGGGCAGGTAGAGCCGTGCAGGGCACAGTCCGAGTGCTGGCGGGCAGCGGCGGCTGGGGCCAGGAGAACCTGGTGCTGGAGTGGCCGTTGAAACTCCTTCTTGCGCAGCAGCAGTTGGTGTCCGGTACCGGCGCTGGTGGCCCTCCGGGTCTCTAAGGTTCTTCACAGTTGGCAGCGGTTGGAGCAGTCGGCAGTTATTCATCTAGCATGGCACCTGCGCTCGGACTGTAATGGTAACTAAACCGCACGCCCTCCTACCATTGCCAGCCCAGCCCAGCACACACCAGCCTTACTGGGATGGCCAGAGTTTGTTCCCAAAACTGTGGGACTGAGGAACTTTTGTAGCTATATGTGACCCAGCCGGGCACTGCTGTGGGGTAGAAGCTGCCATGGATGTGGGTGGTGTGGCACAGTAGGGCGCGGTGCTAGGAGAAAATCCAGTGAGAAGTCATTGCTGGCATAGGAAGGCCTTGCACCTCTGACTGTTGGAGTCTAGGGGTTATTCAAGAAAGTACCGCCATGTGCGTGTCCTCTTCTTGAATTATAGCTGGACCTCCACTTTTGGCCACAGTCAGAGACAGGGACTGGGCTACAAGGACCTTTAGCACATAGAATGTGCAATAGAATGGTGCATTTCATGAGGTGACTATTCAGCTCTTGTAAACATTCACAAGGATTACTGAAAAAACTGCTGCATGCAGACATGCCTGGATCAGAGTCTAGGACTACCAGGCTTAATTCATGTGCAATACGTGCTGCATATGTGTACACACATGTCCTGGAGTGCTGCTGAATTGCCCTGGGAAGATGGTGGCTGGGATTGTGCTGCCACTAACAAATATTTCACTAGACCTGCCACTGGCTCCTTCATGGAGCAGGTTATAGGCCAGAACAATTGTTCGGGCGAGTCATACCAAGCTCACAGGCCACAAGTTTAGCACCAGCAGGACAGTGAAAATTTGTCAGAGATCTAGGTTTCATTCCCTGCTCTTCCAGTTGCAATACATAAATGTGTCTTGACACCTCTGTGATGAACACAGCAAAAAATATATCCTCTGCACTATTCAGTGGTAGTGGCACAAAGTGCGCTCGTCTGTGAAACAAGAAACTAAACCACTTTAAGTGCTGATACTCAAAAAGCTTTTGGGCACCTGCAAGAAGAATGGGGCAGCTCGCATCTCTCTGAGCCACCTTGGCAGTCTGTGAACTCAGAAAACTTGCCTATAGCAGTGACATCTTAGTTCAGATCTATAAAGCAAATGTTGTTTCTTTTTTTTTTTTGCTTTCAGTGGGATTTTTTTGGCAATGACAACTGTTTGGAAAGTCTTTAAATGGCACATAGGATTCTAGAGAGCAAAATTTGAGCCTAGAGCAATGAGGCCTATCACTACATCAATCGATTCAGAACCTTCACAGTAGAGAGTCATGGCTTCTGAGAATCAAGGAGTCTTTCTCTTCTGCAGCCATATTTATCTGTTTTTCAACTAGTTTCACAGTTAACTAGGATTTCTCTGCCTCAAAACCACAAACCTTTCTTCTTCCCTTTTTTATTTCAGTTAAATTGCTTTGTCTCTGTGTTTCTGAGGCTTTCTGGTTTTTAAGATCTGTGTCAACTATTCGTGTCCTTGGGATTCTTTTTTTTACTTTTGTTTAGGGATATTGTGGAAACTCTCCCATTGCTAGAAAGGTATTAGTAAATTCCTTATTACTCAGCAATCACTCTGGAGGAACTATTCCTTTGGTTGCACAGCAGAACATGAATATTTAGTGGACCAGTACTCAGGGCTAATGAAAAGAGTGCAAATGCTAATGCAGAGGCCAATAAGAGACTTTTTTGGGCAGGAGACCTGTCTTAGCTTTATCACATCGCAATGCTGCATGTAGATAGAATGCCTAAAATCAGAAGTGAAAAACCAAAAAAACCACTCATTAGAGAACGCAAAGGAAAAATTGGATTTACATTCTGCTTTTACAGAAAGTCTCACTTATCCTATACGTGCAATCAATTATTCAAATAATTTGTTGACAATTGATATAATTATTTCTAATCATTCTTGATTAGACTCCTGGAATTATGTGATTACATCTAGATGTATGCACCATAAATGCAGGAGGTACAGCCTAGATGAGGAGGAAATCTCATTTTATGTTTCAATTTATCCATTTTTACTAGTTAAAAGGACTCAGGAAGGTTAATTTACATGATCCTAAAGAGAGGCTCACTGAACTTATCTTTATTATATTTCTTTGTGTAACTTAAATAGCAGAACCTTTTCGGTTATGGAGGTGAGAATTCACTGTGTTTTTTGATATTCAGGAGGACTAAGAAACACCTTAGCGTTGTGTGAGTGACATGCAAGTAAAGTGTTTATGTTTACATTCTACAAAATCAAGTCTGTAGTGCTAAGATAAGTAGGTTATTCCTAGGAGAATATAACAATTGGAATAGGATCAGTTAATTCAAAATTAAATTGTTTTTTAATCCATTTAAGAATCTTTGCCTTTCTCATGATACAAATTTAAATTTCATGTTTCCTTCTACTGTAAATTCAACTATATACTTACAGTTGTTTAGCATTTCAGAATTGCACCTTTGCTTAGAAGGTCTTGATATGTGTCAGATAAGCATCTGACCTTGATTTTTTAAATCTTTATTTTTATCTTTAAATCTTTATTAAGACTTTATTAAAAGCTGTGACATCATGGGTCTGATTCTGCTACAGCTGAGAGTAGTGTAAGCTAGGAGTGACTGCTGAATTCAAATAATTCTGCAAGCAAAGTACAAAACTGATTCTCAAGGTCTTTGATCAAGGCCATTTTTATTAGAAATGTGTATTGATTTTAATGGCATTGTATCTAAGATTGCATCTTCTTACCTGAGGGAATACTACATTGAAACAAAATAGATCCTGTCCACCAGTAGTTTGCACAATTGAGCAAATGCCTACTGAAGTGAGCAGAAAGTCATTGCCAATTTAATTTGAAATTGGAAGTATTTCACAACAAATTATTACTGCAGAAAAATCCTACTGGATAGATGAACTTGAGTTAATACTTAAATCACAAATATATTTCTATTTTTTAATTTATTTATTTTGAGTTAACTAGAAAAAATCACTTTCTGTGCATTTACAAGTAGATAATCACATTTTAATTAATTTCTATTTTTATTTTAAGTATCAGGTTGAATAAATGAAGCCCTTCAGAAAAGAGATAGATGAGACATGCTGAAACTCTTTTTCATTCTCTTTCCTCTGGAAGTCTTTCCAATGTATACAACTGCACGATCACAGTAGCTCATCTGTCTAAACAGAATACATTAAGTCAAACCATAATGCTTTTCTGAAGACAGAAGCCAGTACTACACCTGCTCTGATGCTACAGTGTCAGCAATTGAAAGGTGAAGAAGATTTTTCTACTAGAAGTTTTGACACACTAGAAAGTGTTGGCATGACCTCTGCTGAGACAGGAAATTTCTCAACAGCTTTCAGTGCTCAGAGTAATGAAACCTCAGTTGAAAAGCACTCTCTTCCAGGATGCCTCTCACTAACTCATGCTGACCAAGAAGACACAGCATCAGTTTCAAGAATCTCTGAACTTCTTAAGGTTACTGAAGAACCTCAAGCACAAATTTTAAAACATGATCTAGAGATACCACCTGAAGCCAAAATCACATCCATACCACTTTCATCTTTCCCACCTAAAATGCAGCAAGTAATGTCATCCAGAGCTAAAAATGTCTCTGAAATAAGGCAAGCTACAGAAATACCAACTGTAACTTACATATGGCCAGTAATAAAGGTGGAACAGGTTTCCAGCCCCTTTTGGGACAATTTTCGAAAGTCTTCAATACCAACCAGCCCAAACTTAAAAAGACACTGTTCCAGTCCTGATGTACTAGTTGAAGATGTGAAGTGTTCCCAGATAACACCAGTGAAAAAGCTTGAACAAGAAGAACCAGACAGAAAGTCAGAAAGATCATATCCTCTTATTTTAAAGTCATCTAACAGTGTTGTTTCGGGAATTTTAAAATCACTGGTCAATATCAAGAATAAGGATTATAAGAATATGGTACCACTTTCATCTACCAGTCCTATTGGAAAGCAACTGGAAATTCCTCTCTTTAAGGGAAATGCTGTAGTGATATATGATGGGCAAGTCTACATTCTGTATGTAATGACGCATGAAGATCTGACATCAGAAATGAAAATACATGGCTGTGTTGCATTGCTTAGGCAGACCACAGTTTGGCTCATTCCATGTAGTGCTATCCATGATAGCACGATCAAAGTTCCACATCCACTGCAGTCTAGAGCTCATGCTGTAAAACAGAACATAAACCCTCTTACAACCCTTGCTCCCGCCGCACCGCAAGATAAAACTTCAAATGCAACACGTTTATCTTCACACGGGATGATTACCATCTCTCAGCCCAAGCAGGGGTCCTATTCTACTGGGCAAAGACAACAGGTAGTAATCTATGATGATCTATGTATATCTATATTCCTAGATGAATGGATCTATGAATGTCTATGTATGGACAGTAAATTACTTTCCCCTTAGATATGGCTGAATGCAAGGTGCTTTATTCAGCATATTTATAACAGGACAAGTGCTGTGCAAGATGAGTGGCAGACACAACTCCAGTGGGGACAATCACTGCAGAGTAAATCAAAGTAAGGCTTGCAGGTCTTTAAGACTTTACCAATTAAAAAGAAAATAAATAATTAATAGTTAAATTAAATAATGATCGATCAGAAAAAGTCATCACAGGGTCATAGAATGGTTTAGGTTGGAAGGGACCTTAAAGATCATCTAGTTCCGAACCCCCC